GTGCCCCGGACAGCGGGGCCGCCGTGCCACTCCGCCGAGGGCTGCCGAGGCCGAAGGGGAATCACAGCCGCCTTCGAGGCCGAAATGGAAACAAACCCCGTCCCGGTCTCCGCTCTCCTGCGCGGCTGCGGGCCGAGCCTCCCCACTGTGGGGCCCGAGCCTGGAAGTTTGGGCCGGGGGTCGGTCTTGGGTGCCTGGGGATGGGGTGTGAGGGAGGTGTGGAGGTGGGAGGTGGTTGTGGAGCTCTGCCCTGCGTCGGGAGAGGGGCTCGGCGTGGGGGAGATGGCCTCTCCACATCATCCATTATCGACTGCAGAATTCCCAGGAGCCTGGAAACATCACTTTGCATTGTGTGCCAGGAGCTGGGCCTGCCCTGCCCTCCCGAGTGTCTGCTCGGTGTCCGGCTTCATCTGCGCTTTTGACAGGAGAATTAACCTCCACTTGCAGTTTGGTACTTGGCCAGGTGTGAGGAATTCTCTACCTGGGGAGCTGTGAGTGCACTGGGATGCATGCCTCCTGTCTGCCTTTAGTTACTGAAAACTAGCAAGGCATCGAAAAGAGCTGTGTAATGATGGCTGGGTAAATGAGATTAGTCTCTTTCTAGAAGGAACAGCTTTGATAGAGCGGTGCCAATACTTCATTCCGTGCTTAAGATGGGACCAAAGCAATCAAAGAGCTCAGTATCTGTTCATGTGTGTCGGTGAGGTAGGCTGAAATGCTCAGAGGGTAACAAGAACTGGCAGCGTAACCTATTTCTGTGTGAACTATAAAATCCTGTTCGTAAAATGGAATTGGTGGAAGTAATTGATCCAGATTTTCTTTTCCTTCAGCCTTTGGGTTAAAGTCAAGCTGCTTAAGAGAGCTTTCTCGTGTGCCCACCCTTGTCTTTGCTGTTCTGTTCAACGTAAGCTGTTTTCCGCATTGAAGTGGAGAGAATTTTGATCTAACAGAGTCTGTGTTTAAGCTGCCCCTTTTTTTGGAGTCTTCCAAAACTGTTGTTGACCCCCTCGCCTGTCAGCAGCCTCTGTTGCAGGTATTAAGTTCAGCTAGGATGGCAGCCAAGCAGTTGCCACTGCAACTAATGTCGTCAGGGAACAGTGTTTATCTGTGAGTGACCAAAGCCTGATTTTGAACACACCATATACAATAATCTCAATGATTTGACCAGTTTATATTCTTTCTACTCCAGGGAGTTCTGCTGAATAACATTGCCGTGAACAAACCTGTTTCAGTTGAAAAGTTGGTCAAACCTTTCTGTGCTTGCTGGGTTGACAGTTGATCTCTTTCATTCTCCATATCTCTTGTGTTTCTGGTTAATCTTAAAATTAATTAGCTAGTGACTCTGCCCTTGAAATGTTAATGCTGGTCTGTAAGACCGTAGCTCGGACTGTGAGGTGTGAAGCAGGATGGCTTTCAGGTTCTTGGTCTTGCAGTCAGGCGAAGGCTTTGCATACTCCTTGCCTTAGTTCTGCTTGATTCACCTCCAGCTCAAAACCATGATTCATGTGAGTTGCATTTCCTTACTGGGCTTGTGAAAAGGCTTATGGATGTATTTGATGCGCACAAACTTACTGTGGACTAATGGAGAGCTGAGTGGTGTTACGGCTGAGTGATGGCACAGGTAGTGTGTCCTGTGCATTAGCAGACCAGCAATGAGTTGGGCTGGTGGGTGCTGATCTAAGCTCTTCCTCTCCTGTGAGCAGCACCTCTCCCTAGGTAGGTGTCTGTTAAAGCTGTGATGCAACACTAAATCTTCTCTCTGAGAGGTGTTTATAAGATGGAGATGGCCTGGAAAGCCCCAGCCCGCTGAAAAGAGCTTGGAGAGGTTAAAATTGAGTTCACTGAATCTGAAAGTAGGCAGGGTATAAGCAGATGCAACTGCCTCTAAAAGCAACTGCGTCTGTTTTCTTTGGCTCGGACTTGTACTTTAGCCTGGTTTATAATATCTGTGCTATTAATATTTACATCTGAGGAGAGGTGAACTTTATCCTGAAAACTGGCACAGAGAGCGGTGAAATGTCTAGGTACACAAGAACCTACCAACAGCTTCTGCAACAATGGGTGCAGCATAATCAAAATAGAAAACTGTAATTTGGTAATACTAGAAGGCACAGCGTAAGCTGATGCTGCCAGGCTTCAGCTAGTCTTAGCTCTCAAGTAATTGTTGACAACTTCCTCTTCTGGGATCTCGCAGAAATAGTGCAGGATATGTAGTCATTAACTTGGGTGGTGTAATTTGATGCTATGAATTTATGAGATTAAAAGAGATTAAAGATTCTGCTTTAGCAGGCAGAAAATGAGGGATGTGTGTGTGAGGGGTCTATCTCCATTAATACTTTCTAGGAGTGCCAGGCAGCATGTGTGCAGTACTTGTCACCTTGGGTTAAAGAGCAAAGTATCATCTGTCAAAGGAGAGGTTTTACTTGTGACAGTGCTGTCCCATTTGAAAACTAATTTGCCTGAATTTGCCTTTGTGGCTTTTGCTAACATTCAGTCCCTCTCTTCAGGTATTAACAGCATTAAGTGTGGATGTTTGAACAGACTTTTTTTTACTCTCTTGCAGAGCAAAGAGTGGAAGATGTACGACTGATTCGAGATCAGCATCCAACTAAAATACCAGTAAGTCTGGTTCTTTTCACTTTCTTATGTTCTTTTAAGTAGTTAGAAGCCTGTAAAAGAGCTGTCCTTATAAGACCAAATTAAAATTTGGCTGTTCAGGGTTGTTAGGCCTGGATTTCAGAAAATGCCTAAACTAGTAACCGGCCGTTGGTGTGGTAGAGCAAGGTGCTAGCTGGGGACTGGAGGAAATGGGGTTTCCTGTGTACTGAAGCTGAATGTTGTAACTTCAGAGAAAACCACACCCTGACTGAGCTCTGAGATTCTCCTGAGTGTTCAGCTCTTCTCATCTCAGCGTTTTTCTTCTCCAGAAGAAGAGTCTGCAGAGGCTAACGAAGAAGAATGCACAGTAATGTAGAGACAGTTATGGCTTTCAACACCAGTCCACGCTGAGAAAGACAGAAACGCTTGCCTTCTGGGAAACGGGCCTTTGCTTGAGGTCTCCAGAAATGCTGCTTGGCTGTCAAACCCCTCCACCTAGTGTTGAGGCACCTCAAAGAGGGGATCAGCCCGCACCTGGTCGCTCTTCTTTAGCTGGTCAGCTCCAAATGCTGCCTGAATTTTTATTTTCTTTTATTTATGGCATCCTCAAGGTTACAAACGCAAAGCAAAATGTCCTGTGAAGCAAAAGGCAGGGATTGTGATATATTGCGGATGAGTTCTTCACAACTGGTGGGCTTTCGTGTGATGGCTGTCACCGCAGTAAGCAATAAATGCAACCGTCCTTACGGCCATTTGGTGAAACAGGGAAGGTCTCAGGAGATCTTGGGGAGCAGAAGAGAGAACTTAATCGGACACCTCAGCCTTTGGTTCTCAGTGATGAGATCCCTGTGAGTGAAAATTCTTCTGTGAACAAACGGCTTGCAAACTGGCTGCAGTTCCAGTGCAAGTTCATTAACAGAAGCAGTTGTTGCCTCCATGTCAAATAGAAACCAGAAGGTTTTCAGCTTTCCTTTAGCTTTAAACTACTTCATCTTGAAGCTGCTGCTGCTGCTGTTTTACTATGCTATTGGGCATGGGAACAAGCAATACTTTACAGCAGAGATTTTCTGACTTCTCTGGAATGTGCAGTTTTCCCCAAAAGACCCTTTCCTAACAAATCTGTTTCCTGACAGAAGATTACTTTTTCACCCACCTTTCACAGATCACTTAGCTGTAGTCCCCAAGGAGTGTGACCACAGATTGAAAGCCATTGATTTATAGCAAAGCTCTCATTTTAAGTCAGCCATGGACATATTACTAGCAAAAATTCAGAGGTGTCTAAGCAACTTGCTGAAGATGCAGTGATGCAAACTCACAACTATGGCAGAGGCCTGCTGGGATCCCTGGAGGCTTGCTGTGGTTGCTTGTCCATGTCCTAGCTTGAGTTACTGCCTTGCTATTATCATTAGCAGTTCTGGATGAGATAAGATGGCAATGCCATGCTAGATGGTAAATCCCTCCTGTGCTGTCAACACCCTTCCTTTTGCTCTTGGAAATATTATCTATTGGTTATGGTCTAACTTTTTTAAAACAGTGTTGTTGGTTTTTTTTCTAGAATGAGCCAGCATTTATTTTAACTGGTGTTAAGGAAGTCTTTCTCTGATATAATTAAATTGACTTAATATCTCTTCACCTGTGTAACTTTTGAATATCAACACAGCCAGACCCCGTGAGCATGGAAATGATCCAAGTGAATGGTGTCACGTAGCTAGTGTTGATTTAAAAACAACAAAACCCACGCTGTGGAAACGGGAATGCACAAATCCTGAGATCATTTCTCAAAAGCAGGAACTATATGCAGTTGCTGGGCAGGGTGCTACTTAAATTGGCAAATCTGCAATTTCCTTGTAAATTAAGTAGTTACTACATAAAATCTTGACAGAATTACTGGTTCCTAAGCATCCTGTCCTGAAATTAAGGAGGAGGAAATTCTCTCTTTTGAGGCTTTATACCCTTCAAAAGTAGCTTTCTCTCATGGATTAGAGTAACCATGTTGGTGAACGGAATAGCGTACTAATCTGGAGGTGTAATTCTTAGAAAGAGGTGGCCTGAAACTGGAAAAATTCTAGTGAAAACTGGTTCAGTTTGCAGACTTCTGTAGCAGCCCAAGGCCCTAGTCAGCCACTGTAACGCGTTAGAGGGAAGTGTGCTTTATCTTTTCTTGAGTTTCCTTGTTGCTGGGTACCTCAGTGCTAGATTAAATGATTCCAGCAAATGGACTGTTCTAAAATGGCACCGAAGCTGTGGATGTTTGCTGTTAAATCCCTGTTTGTTACCCCTTCGTGCAGCGACTCTCGCAAACAGAGCAGGAGAGGCACATGAAGAAAATTGTAATTGTTCCTTTTCAGATTCCAGATACTGCATTCACAAATGAAGGAAAATGGAGTTTAGCATGAATGCTTGTTGTACTTTGCTGTGTCTAAAATGGAGGGGGGAGATGAGGGCACCAGACACCATTTCTGCCTTTCACATCTTCTGCTCCTTTCTTTTTGTTTCTTTTTAGGTGATCATTGAAAGGTACAAGGGAGAGAAGCAGCTTCCAGTTTTGGATAAGACCAAGTTCCTGGTGCCAGATCACGTCAACATGAGCGAGCTAATTAAAATTATCAGGTAGTATGCTGTGATTTCAGTGTAAGCTCCGTCAACCTAAGACTTTGTTTATTCCCCACCTGGTGTATGCATTTGGGACTCTTTAAATGGAAAATTCATCTAACGAGTGCCTTGGTATCATCACTAGGACAAATTCATGAGAAGGTGCTTTTCCTTTGGCTTTGCTGGGAAGAAACTTCTTGAAATTGCTGAGCTGGTAGTCTGCTTTCAAGAGAAATAACTGCTTCCCAGAGTTGTAGGAGGGAGTCTGGGGCTGTGAATCCCTGTCTAACATGGGTGCTTCTGGCCCAGGGCCCCAGCGCTTCCTGCTTGGCTATTTTAGGATGCCTTCTTGGTGTTCTGCCTGGGAGTCCCTCTCCGGAGTGCCTGCCTCTTCCCACCCACTGGAGGGGGAGTTTGGGCTCGTAGCCAGAGCTCTGAGCTGTTGCTTAGGGTTGATGTTGGCAAGCTTTGATCGTGAAATGAGGTTTCCCTCAATGACAGTGTTGAGGCCTGAAAAACACACGTTCAGACCAGTATCTTTTTGTCCCAGCTGTTTGCACAGACTGTGGCTTGAGTACTGCTCTGCTCTGGTGCTTGAGCTTTGCTTACAAGAAAAGGCAAAGGGGAAATAGCCATGGAGTGGAAGTTGTGTGGTCTAAAATTGTGGTCAGAAATTCTGCTAGAAGTGCATTTCTCCTGGCTTAATGTCAAGAAGGAATATTTGATTAGTAAGAGTTCTCAAGTGGTAAATTTAGAAGTTAGCAGCAAACCAGAGTTTGCTTTTTTTGTTGGTCACGGTGTAGCAGGCAGCTGGTTTGTGGAGGCCACAAGCTGTAAAACCGGAGTTGTCCCGTGTGTCCAAACAATTCCCTGCCTCTGAGGCTTGTACAAAAACCCTCCTCAGCAAATCCCAGCTCTTAGATGAGTAAGAAAGTGAGATAGGGTTTTGGAAACGGGAACCAGATTGCTCAAGTCTTCCAGAATTTCTCATGAACATTAAAGCCCTGGGCAGAAAGGTTAACAGCAAGCTGAAGGATTTTCCCCACCTTTTTTCTTTGGCTTTATTGTTAATAGATGACTTGGTACCAGCTGGACTTGGTCCTTAGCCAGCTCCTATTGTGCACAGCAAAGCCTGTCCTTCCCAGCCCCCAGAGAGCTGCTGCCTTTTCTCAGCCTGCTGTCTCTCGAGCGATTAGAGCTTGGTTTTGGAAGGGTCCCATTCCAGGGCTGTGGCTGGGAGGCTGAATAAATCCTTGTTTCCAGCTGCTGCTGCCCCTCAGCAGCGAGCGGAAGTGGGCAGGAAGCTCTTCTGATCTGTTGTTCTTTCCTTCTTTTTTGGTTGTGCTTCCACATACCTGAGTTCCTCCTGCTTACTTGGTTTATGAAGTAGTAAGAGAGCTTCTCTCTATAAAGCTGCTTGCCGGTAGGCAGTTTAGCAGAAATAGCTATTTCTCCCCAACCGGAGGGAATGATCCAAGGGAAACCCCCAAGTTAGATGTTTACTGTGCCACGCAGTCTGTGAAGTCTGTCGCTCTCTGCCCTTCCCACGATGCTTCTCCTGGGAGGGAGGAGAAGAGGCGGCAAGATGCTCCAAAGGTTAAACGCAGGCTGTCACAGAGCTGGTGACAAAGTGAGTTTAAAAGGTTCAGGGCCTTCGCGTGGAAACTCTGCCCATCTGCCCTCCCCATCGTCACTTGGCTCTCTCAAGGTCAGCCTGGGTTTACATTTCCAGTGAGCTGTAAGCCGAAGGTCCTGCAGGCCTTGGGCGTTTGCTGGTCGTACAGGGACCATCCTGGCAAGGACTGCCTCTTCCTTTTCGCTTCAGTTTAATGTCCTGCTGGAGTGTAGCTTTTCCAGTGAAAGAAGGGCTTCTGTCAGTGGACATGTTTGATGGGACTTAATAGATGAATTTAATACCACTTAGAGGTGGGAACTAAATGCCGCCTTCTCCAGCGGCAAGGCTGCTTTGGGTGGGGACATCTTACTGCTGTCAGTGGCGGAGGCCTTGGTTTTGCTCTTTATCCTAAACCTTTGTTAATGTGACTGGAAATGCGTGGTCATCACTGTGAAACTCCTTCCCCCCTCCGCTCTCCCAACCTCCCCCTAACAGGCGACGCCTGCAGCTGAACTCCAACCAGGCGTTCTTCCTCCTGGTGAACGGACACAGCATGGTGAGCGTTTCCACACCCATATCCGAGGTGTACGAGAGCGAGAAGGACGAGGATGGGTTCCTGTACATGGTGTATGCCTCTCAGGAGACTTTCGGAGTGCAATCTTCTGTCTAAGATACGCAGGCGGCTTCTAGCCTAGGATTTTGGTTGACCCTTGGCCATCACCCCCACTCTTCCCCACACACACCCCAGGGAAAGAAACGGACGTCACCTACGCTCTCAGTACCTTAGCATAGTCTTGCTTTAGCAGGTGTCTCATCTTACCTTGCCTTGTTTGTGACTATTAAACAGTGCAGACGAGCACCTCTGGCTTTGAAACCTGCTGTAATATTCCACACAGGCACATTTACATTTCTGGACTTTATGAATGGAACCCAATTGTGCATGTGCAAATAAAGGGACACTTGATTGACTTTAACAAGCAAACAGGCACCAGGGAGGAGCTAAAGTGTTTTGTGTGACAGTTTTCTGGAAAATCAAATCTCCCTATGATTCCTTTTTTTTTTTTTTTAAATTTTTTTTTTAATGGGAAGGCTTCTCGCAAGAGCAAATATGTTTTAATGTTCCAAAGCAGAGTTTTGTCTTCTGCAGCTCGATGACACTCGTGTCAGTGCTGCAGTGAGTTAAGGCAAGTGCTTGGGGTGAGCTGGGGGAGTACAACTCTTTTTTTGTCTCTGGTTTTTGTGGCACTGGAAACTTAGGAACGGTGCCAGTTTCTGAAATACTCATACCAAACATCACAGCTTTATTGTAGTTTTAGGAAGTGTTTTAACTGTAAAATACACACCTGGACAGGTAACATTGAAATAAACTCCAGTCTGTTACGAATTTCCAATGCCTGTGTGTTCAGTGAAGCACTGTTGTTCATACGAGCTTGCTTCCAAAAGATCATCCCCCCTAGCTCGGAGGTTTGCCGTTCCCTTGCCCAGCAGAGCCTGCTGGGAGAAGGTAGTCGAGGGACCCGCCGCCGGCAGATGAGGCAGTCGGTCGGGATGCGTGCAGCTGGCCGCAGAGTGCAATCTGGCTAGTGCAATCTGAGACACGAGCCGTGCCCGTAACGCTGGTGGTCTTGGGAGCGCCGCCCGTCCTCGCAGTCTCCATCGGCTCCCCCACGCCCCCGAGGCCCGCCGCCCCGGCGCGGCG